ATGGTGAAGGCCGCGAGCAGAATCAACGCACCCCATTCGCATGCGAGCCGATGCATGAGGAGGTTAATCAGGTGCCCGTCCAAGAGCATGCGCAGGAGGCAGTTCCCGAGGAGACAGTCGATAACGGGCATGGTGATGGCCGCGAGCAAGATCATGGTCATCAAGGAGAGGCGGGTCGTCGATGTGGGGTGGCTCAGGGCCAAGATTCTTCTCGCCATGCGTCGGATGTGGAGGGGGGGCGTCAACATTATGGACAGCATCAAGATCTCGATCGTTGCCAGTACGAGCAGCAGCGAGAACTGGATCGTCGTCGCTACGAGCAGGGTTTGGAGATGGACCGCCGCCGCTACGAGCAGGAGCAGGAATTGAATCGTCGCCAGTATGAGCGTGAACAGGAGCTAGACCGTCGCCGCTACGAACACGATCTGGAGCTGGACCGTCGCCGCTACGAACACGATCTGGAGATGGAACGTCGCCGCTACGAACACGATCTGGAGATGGAACGTCGCCGCTACGACTCCGAACAACACGACATTCGTCTTCCGGGTCAGTGGGAGCAGAGTCGGAATGCCCAGCGCTTTGCGCAGATGGAGCTTGAGTTGCAGCACCGCCGCTCCGAGCGTGAGCTGGAGCAGGACCGCGAGCTAGAACGCCGCCTATTCGACCGCGAGCTGGAACAGGACCGCGTGTTGGAGCGTCGCCGCCAAGAGCGCGAACAGAAGCAGGATAGCGAATTGGAAAGACGTCGTCGTGCATATGAGCACGAGCAGGACGAGGAGCGTGCCGGCCACCGCTATGAACGCGAGTTAGAACTGGAACGCGAGTTGGAGCTGGACCGCGAGCTCGAACGTCAGCGTTACGAACGTACGGAGAAGAGGGAGCGGGAACGCGACAACCTTCGCCATCAATATGAAATGGAACAGGACCGTGATCGTCATCGTCGTCGTCACGAGCGCGAAACGGAGCAGAATCGCGAACTCGAGCTTCGTCGCCAGAGTCAGATATTGGAACTGGAGCGCGAGATGCAGGAGCGTAAATTGGAACAAGATCGCGAGCTGGAGCGACGCCGTCTCGCACGCGAACTGGACCGTGATTGAATAACCTGTAAACATACGTGTTTTGAGGCCGGCCACCTCGTAAGTTGGTCGAAGCGTCTTCACGGGTCTTCACCATTACTGTACGAATTGATCTGAGATTGAAACCAAGACCGCAGATTGCAATGCGGAATCCCACCTACATACAATCCCTCTCTCATGTTTGCACATAGTCCCGTATATTGCCTGACCGACCAGATATCTTGCATTTTGTAACTACGATGAATATACAGTCATGTCTTGTCCAATCTGCCGATTTGGCTCCGCTCAGCTATCATACGTAAAACCTCTGAGTATACAGTCTCAAATCCAAAGCGCTGGATAACGAAGAGGCAGCAAGCGATCAAGGCGACCAACATACTGATACACAGGATGCTGGTGAGGTAAGAGCGAGCTATCAGACGAGAGATTAGGGATTGTACGCAGGAGGGTTTCTCCACATACTGCGAGTGCCCGACGGGGCCGGATGAGCTTCCCATATATATAAGTGGCCTTCGGAAGAACCCGTCGTAAGGACGACACGACTTCCGTTTCCGTTACAGTAGCCCTACGAGATGTAATCAAGATCACGAAGCAGACCAAGTGGAAGCGATCACTTACTGCAAGAGCCGTTATCCTTGCCTGGTCTGTACAGACATTGCTAGGTTAGTATAAGAAGGCTGACGAGGTACTCGCTCCGCTCACCATGCGTGAGCTTCTGCATCTGTAGCGGAGACCCGCCATCAGTGTTCCAAATGCGTACTTTACCCGTAGAAGTGCCTGTAGCAATAGCGTTCCCGTCGTGTATATAAGTGACGGGTAAGGGAGATGCGCTTGCACCCAGATCTAGCGGGGTCTCCGCGCAGGGCAAACGTGTGTTCATGTCGAACACGGTCAGGCCTCGGCGAATATCTAACGTCGCGAGATGCCGATGATCGGGAGAGAGATCCGAATACCCACTATGAGAAGATGAGTTGTGCACGGTACGATCCAATCGCAGACCTACCATCCAGAAAGGGGTACAGCCCATAGCGGCGAACGTGTGGATATGTCCCAACAACTGCATCGAGTGAGAGGTCAGAGTGGTTGCATAGGACGCTCAAATCGATATGGACCTACGTGGCACCATGTCCGAGATAGGAGCACAATAGCTTGCCCGAAACACTTTTCTCTGTCACGATTGGGTTATCCAGCCAGTGAACCGAGCTGATGGCCACGTCTGTCGCGGGATTCCCAGTAACGTTCTCCACGTTGAGAGCTGGTATGTCGACGACTTTCTCCCAGACACCTTGTGAGGGCAAGTCTGCAGTTAGCATAGGCATTCTGCCACCATTATACAGCGTTATACCTTGATTCAAAGGGTCCACCGACCAAATCGTGACCGCAGATGTGGTCGAAGTGATCACCACGTCCTTCTAAATGTCTTGAGCAGCCTTGACGTGTTGAACGGCGCCTTGATCATGAGCTACATGTTGACGCGCTGCGAGAACCGGATTTCTCTGAGCTGTTGAGAGACTAGACGTGCATGTAAACGGTCGGTGACTCACGTATCCAATGACGGAGCACGAGACCGCAGTTCCAGCTGTACACCCCGCGTAGAATATCTCTCGACGGTGAGATGGCCAATCCATAGACACAACTGGAAACCCAATATGTAGTTCTCCCAGGGATTCGCCTGTAGCTAGAGACCATACACGCACGAAGCCGTCTAAGCCGCCCGAGAGCAGCCATGTTCCATCTGGGTTGATAGATAGACTGAGTATTTGCGGGGTATGTTCATCTAAGCCGTGTCCCTTCCAGTGAGCTTGACGCGCATAGCGGAGAAGCATCTTGACGAGACGTAGACTGTCTGCACGAATTGTTCAAATTGGGGGCAGTGCTTTATAGTCGTTGTGACGGTGCTCAGTACTGGTGGCGCGGAAAGAGAAGAGGAACCCGCAATCAGCGACCCTGAGTTTTCACGTGCTCGGGCCGATCTCTCGAACGCTAGCGCTCGGGTGGACTGATGTGGCCGTGTCGTGGTGGATCTACGTGCCTCCTAACTGCATAGATGTACGTTGATAGTGAGCTTACTGTCTACGAGGGTTGATAGGCCGATTGCGACACCGAAGGGTCCATATTCAGGCCACGATATTGAGACCATAAGGAGGGCCGTCTGCTCGCGGGAGTCGCTTTGATCGACAGAAAGTCTGGCAGACAATGTTGAACCCACAATGTCTATTCGCGAGCCTACTCCAGACAGTGGTAAGTGTCTCATCAGGGTATATAGTAGGTCAAAGCGCATCGACAAAGCGAACTGCGCAAGGCGGAAGAATTCCCTGGATACTGGCAGTGCTGGCGTATAATCTTGATACCTCCTGGCATAGGATGTAGGACGCGCAATCAAATCTATTCGGTCGTATACAAGGATGTCTGTGATGCACATTCAGAGGCTAAAGAGATGGAGACGATTGATACATGTGAACAGGGCGGTTGGTTCATATCCCCATACTTCGAGAAAGATCAAGTCCGTAGGTAGAGTACAAAGTGTGAACGGGATCATGGCTTCTATGAACGCAGCGGTATCGTCCGCCCATTCACCAAGGAGAAGGGGGAGCCCACCAGTGCTATCCTCAAAAAAAGGGTGAGAAGGGAGTGCGCGATTGATGGCGCAGTGCATGGGTAGCTGATTGTGAAAACGACCCGACACTAAACCCCAGATGCGGAGCTTGCTCGGATAGCCGACACGGCTTTTGAGGGTGTTGCTATCTGAAAAACGTACTGTAGCTGCGACAAGTTGTACTGGGTGGGGAAAACGGACGGCCACAGTGCCGTATGCGCCATCGAAGGGCCAGCACACGTCTGTAGTAGTGTTGGCTGCAAGCAAGGACTCCGCGGATTGGGATATCCAGTAGTCCGGCTCGAAGTGTGCCTCTACAGCGGCTTTCAGCTGTTGCAGGACCCATGCTCTCTGTGATACGAAGGTTCTCGACGTCAATGACGCTTCGATGTGCGCTCCAGAACCAAACGACCCGACTTCTTTTAAGTCGTGCAAAGGAAGAGGCGTCTTCTGGGAGTCACCGGGGCACGCCGCGCAGCGCGCGATTGGGCAAGAACCGATGGTGGCCCAGTGTCGTAGCTTGGAAAAGGTGTCGATAGGTAGGTGATGTACAGCCCAGGTCATCGTGAGCGACAGGATGACGGTTGTGATGATGAAGATCCAGCGAGTGGGATATGGCTGGAAGGCTGGGTGAGTATGTGCGAGAT